TGTTGACTGGTGCGCTGTGCCAGGTCTCCTCTTCCTGTTGACTGGTGCGCTGTGTCAGGTCTCTTCCTGTTGACTGATGCGCTGTGTCAGGTCTCCTCCTTTTGACTGGTGCGCTGTGTCAGGTCTCTTCCTGTTGACTGGTGCGCTGTGCCAGGTCTCCTCTTCCTGTTGACTGGTGCGCTGTGCCAGGTCTCTTCCTGCTGACTGGTGCGCTGTGTCAGGTCTCTTCCTGCTGACTGGTGCGCTGTGTCAGGTCTCTTCCTGCTGACTGATGTGCTGTGTCAGGTCTCTTCCTGCTGACTGGTGCGCTATGTCAGGTCTCTTCCTGCTGACTGATGCGCTGTGTCAGGTCTCTTTCTGTTGACTGATGCGCTATGTCAGGTCTCTTCCTGCTGACTGGTGCGCTGTGTCAGGTCTCTTCCTGTTGACTGATGCGCTGTGTCAGGTCTCTTCCTATTGACTGGTGCGCTGTGCCAGGTCTCCTCTTCCTGTTGACTGGTGCGCTGTGCCAGGTCTCTTCCTGCTGACTGATGCGCTATGTCAGGTCTCCTCTTCCTGCTGACTGGTGCGCTGTGCCAGGTCTCTTCCTGTTGACTGGTGCGCTGTGTCAAGTCTCTTCCTGCTGACTGGTGCGCTGTGTCAGGTCTCTTCCTGCTGACTGGTGTGCTGTGTCAGGTCTCTTCCTGCTGACTGATGTGCTGTGTCAGGTCTCTTCCTGCTGACTGGTGCGCTATGTCAAGTCTCTTCCTGCTGACTGATGCGCTGTGTCAGGTCTCTTCCTGTTGACTGGTGCGCTATGTCAGGTCTCTTCCTGCTGACTGATGCGCTGTGTCAGGTCTCTTCCTGTTGACTGATGCGCTGTGCCAGATCTCCTCTTCCTGTTGACTGATGCGCTGTGTCAGGTCTCTTCCTGTTGACTGATGCGCTGTGTCAGGTCTCTTCCTGTTGACTGATGCGCTGTGTCAGGTCTCTTCCTGTTGACTGATGCGCTGTGTCAGGTCTCTTCCTGCTGACTGATGCGCTGTGCCAGGTCTCTTCCTGCTGACTGGTGCGCTGTGTCAGGTCTCCTCCTGTTGACTGGTGCGCTGTGTCAGGTCTCTTCCTGGTGACTGGTGCGCTGTGTCAGGTCTCTTCCTGCTGACTGGTGCGCTGTGCCAGGTCTCCTCTTCCTGTTGACTGGTGCGCTGTGCCAGGTCTCCTCTTCCTGTTGACTGGTGCGCTGTGCCAGGTCTCCTCTTCCTGTTGACTGGTGCGCTGTGTCAGGTCTCTTCCTGTTGACTGGTGCGCTGTGTCAGGTCTCTTCCTGTTGACTGATGCGCTGTGTCAGGTCTCTTCCTGCTGACTGGTGCGCTATGTCAGGTCTCTTCCTGCTGACTGATGCGCTGTGTCAGGTCTCTTCCTGCTGACTGGTGCGCTGTGTCAGGTCTCTTCCTGTTGACTGGTGCACTGTGCCAGGTCTGTGCCTGTTGACTGGAGGGCTCTGCAGTCCTGTGCCCTTGCAGGTGAGGTCAGATGGTGCTGGCTGGTACAGGTAGGCCTGCAGAGATCGGCACCCATGGGAGCCTGGATGTCCAACCTGGGGGTGATATGTGCTCCTGTAACACTAGAGTATTGCCTGTATTTCACTGGGATTTGAGGCACTCATTGTTGGAAGTGAAAGGCGCGTGGAGTTCAGCAGAGCTGGGGGTACAGGTATGGGACAGAGGAGACCCCTCAAGGCCTTGGAGGTCTATAGTCAGGTTGTGGGTTCAGCCAGCCCCATTGCCCAGGCTAGACAGCAGCCATCTTTATTTCTGAAGTAAAATGAAAACAGCCCCCCCCCCCACCCCATCCCCACTTCTTCTACTTATAAAAGTACCATATGGGGCTGGGAATATGGCTTGGTGGTAGAGTGCTTGCCTAGCACACATCTCAGTACCACATACACAGAAAAAACCAGAAGTGGCGCTGTGGCTCAAGTGATCGAGTGCTAGCCTTGAGCAAAAGAAGCTCAGGGACAGTGCCCAGGCCCTTAGTTCAAGCCCCAGGACTGGCATAAGAGAGACAGACAGACAGAGACATTAAGTAGTAGAATGCGTCTTGAGTGAAAAAGCTAAGCAAAAGCTTGAAGCCCTCAGTTCAAACCCCAGTACCTGTACACACACACACACACACACATAATTTGTTTACAAATTTTTACATTTTTAGTTTGTCAATTAGAAATTCTAAGTCACGTATGTCTGTGGTGATGGGAAGTTTAAATGTTCTTAAATTACATAGTTTATGTGGATACTAATGAACAGTAGTCAAATCTGTCTCATACCTTTGTCTAACTTCAGTTACCACACCTAGAGAGGTCCTTCTCTACCCCTATGCATAAACTGTGGGTTTTCATTTTCAGTGTACTTGAAACAGACTGTTCCTCTATTTCAGGCTGGCCATGAGCCCCCCATTCTGTCTCTAGAGGGCTGGGTTTCCAGGGCTAGGTGCGCCACCATATCTGGCCAGAAATTTTTAAGGAAAGGCAGGATTGGATATTTACTCTTCAGATATAAGCCCATCTTGATAGCCTCATCTTATTTCTTACAGTGTTATCTTGAAAGAGGATGTTGCTTGAGAGCCAATGCTGGTAACATAGGCCTCTTTGGAACACTGACTCAGCCACGGGCAGGGGCTCTGGGCCTCTCCATCAGCTAAGATAGGTGTGGAAGGGGCTGAGCCCAGGCTGTGCTACAGTGGGCAGCTGAATAGAAGACGCTCGTGGCAGAGCTTGCAGATTGGCAAGATGGATAGAGGCTGGGAATGTGAAGCGGATAAGATCATCCAGTCAGGTGGTAGGAGGTGATGCATGGTAGGGCTGTGTGTCTGGTCTTGCGTCCTCAAGGCTTCTGTGGGAGTGGTGTGGAGTAGTCCTGAGCTGATGGGGTGAGATTCTGATGGGGTGAGGCAGGTGCTGATGCTGCTCCTCACACTTGACCATCTTTCAGGTGGAACCTTTTGCCAGTTTGTCTGAGGCTGTGCGGAGCTCAGTGCCCCGACTGCTCATCAACCGAGAACTGGTGGGACCCTTTGCTTGGCGTCCTCGAAGCCGGGACGTTGCCCAGCTAGGGGATGTAGTTCACAGCGTGGAAAAGCTGGTGGACCTTCTTGGCTGGACAGAAGAACTAAAGGACCTTGTTCAGCGGGAAACTAGAAAGATATAGACTACTGAGCTCTGGGGTTTGGTCACCAGATTGGACTTTGACGGCCTTTTCCTAGCCAGACTCATTTCTGGACAGACTTAAGAACCTTGGGGTGGCCTAACAACTTGACTTGTATTTCCAGCACCACAGGGGTTTATGTTATGATGGGGTGTGTTTTCATAGGCTTTTCTTAAGAACTACCACTCAAGGTTACTTCTCCAAAGTGTTACGTTTTTGTGCATGTGAGAGCATCAACACAGAGTTGTTAAAATCCACTGGAACAAGGCATTCCATTTGGACCCACTTCTGCCAGGCCTGCTGGGATCTCTTATTTACAAAGACAAGAGCTTCTGTTTTGTAAAATTATTTTGCTTGTCTCCAGCTGTGTTTGAATTAGGCCTGGGAGTCCAGTAACTGGTACTCTCTCACCTTTGTACCAGCTGAATGGATGGGACAGGTAGGAGGGTAATGGTTAGCCCAGGAGAAACTATCATACAGCAGATTCACATCCCATTTCTAGTGAGACAACGTGTTTGAAGACAGCGTGGGCAGGTTCACAAATCTTGGACAAAGCAGGATACAACCTGAGCCAGAGCAGACTCTGAGGCTGCACTGGAACGTCTTCGTGGATGGGCGTGTTTCACATCACACACATGGATGGCAAAGAGCCGCTTACTTGCCTGTCTTCTTCGTCTAGTTCCTCACTCTGCTGAAGCTTGTAATACACTTTCTGCTGGCAGTGGCTCTCTTGACCTGACTCACCGGATCCTGGACTGGGCTTACTTTATTGTACCAGGCTGTCGACGGCAGTTCAGCATGTCTGTCACAAGACACAGGTCTGGGCCACACAGCCTTAGGTACCCTAGCACTGGACTAGGGTTGTCTAGTGTGCCAACCTCTGCAGTAGTTAATCAGCAAATTTCTCACAGGAAATAAATACAAAACCAATCATCCTTTTTGTCTTCTCAGGACAGCAAGTGTTGGTATCAGAGTGGAAAGCTAACTTTGTGACATGGTGTCCCCCTCTTGGGATAGGAGGGACTGAACTCGTCTGTCCTTGAATTGTGAAAATGGTCCAGGCCTTTCAGAGCAGTCTGCCCAGCAGTTCCTAACCTTCCTCTTGTCCCCCACCCCTACACCTGGGTGTCTAGTGAGGGTACTGAAAACTTCAAACACAATACACAGGTACCATGTATTAGGAAATGTTACTGGCTCCACTGTTAGCCCCAGCTTGTACGGATGCGTACTGGATCTCCTATTGTGTAGAGGTACTGTTTCCTACATGGCCCAGACACAACTCTAATAGCCGACCTCCTTATCTGCCACCCATATGTGTGCCCTCCTTCCTGGTGCATGCAGACCATTTCCTGTCCAAGCTGCACCCGAAGGGGAGGGTGGGTGATGGGAAAAGTTAAAGACTCCATGGAAGGTGGTTCTGGGACCTTGCTTCTCAGTTAACAAGACATGTGGCCGTCTGGAGGAGGTGTTAGATTCTGAGAATAAAACTAGCTTGGATTTTTACTTAATATCAGCATGTTTACCTTCTTTTTTTTGGCTAGTCCTGGGCTTGAACTCAGGGTCTGGGCACTGTTCCTAAGCTGCTTTTGCTCAAGGCTAGCACTCTACCACTTGAGCCATAGCACCACTTTTGGCTTCTGTTGTTTATGTGGTACTGAGGAAATTGAACCCATACTAGGCAAGCACTCTACCACTAAGCCGCGTTCCCAGCCCTGCTTAACTATTTTATACAGATACTCAAAAGCATGGTCCTGCCCAAAACTCATCTTTATTCCATTCCTCTGAAGTCAGTTTACAGTCCCACAAGGGCATTTTCTTTCATGTGTTAGGCTAGAATGAATAGGTAGGATTGATCTATTTATCACAACCAATAAGGTGGCTAAGCCCTGTGCTGAGCTGAGGAGGCAGGAACAATAGCACATGCTTTGCTCTGTTACCAAACTCTAGCTATACAGTTAGAGGCCCATTCCCCTGCATAAAACACACCACATGCCCCATACAGTAGCTCTGGGCCAGCAACCTCAGATGGTTTTGCACCCGTGTTCCCAGCTCAGTACCACCCTTCCCCACACATACTGGCTGTGATGTCTCTGACCAAGTAGCCTCTGCACTTACACATATCACAGAGACAACTTTGCATGTGGAAAAGCTGATTTCCCCACCTACAGCAGGACGCGACCATCACAGTCCTAAGCAGATCACAAGACAGAACTTGGGGAAGAGAGAAGGGGGTCCCCAGACAGAGGAGTGTGTGGCTTCCCCGGGTGGCACTGAGGGCGTCTCTGGAAGCAGCACCAGTTCAGGAAGAGGCAGAGACACCATGTCCTCAGTCAGGGTCCGAGTCAGGGTCTGAGGAGAGCTGCTCCTCCATGGTCTCACACATTGCATCCTGCAGGGATGTCAGGTGGCCCCGGGGACTCATCCCCATGGGCTGGATGACTCTGTGCCTGAGGGGAAAGCGCAGCAGGGCTGGGCACAGGGCCTGCCTGCACACCTCTGGCTGCGGGGCCTAGGGAGCACCCTGTGCCAGTCTGGCCCAAATCTTAGTACCTAACAGACTTAATGTTGGACAGTCCCTCATATTCTTGGCCTGTTTTCATCACTGGTAATGAAGGGTACAATAAGGACCTTCCCCTCTTTTCTGTGGGATTTCTTAGAGGGCAAGCAGTGATTTTGAACAAAGTAATACAGCCTTTCCAAGGTCCTTTCCTTCCTCTGGTCCCCCTTCCCTAGGGCAGCCACAGGCCCTTCGGCTCACCACTCTCACCTGGAAAGCTTGTCAAACATGTTCACCAGCTTCATGGCCTCATGCTCTTTCTGCTCCTCTGTCATGCCCTCCATAGGGTTGGGAGGCTTCTCTTCCACCCTCCCGGTCACCGGGTTGATGCTGCTTCCCAGGGCAAGAGCAGGAGACAGGTGTTAGGTTACTTTCTAAGACAAGTGGTGCTGGGTGGCCAGGCGGTGTTCCCATCTTCCGCATCAAGCCTGGTCTGGGAAGAAACCCAGATTTTTGGTGGTGATGGGAGAGGTAACTTTCCTTCCAGGAACAGTAATTGCTTCTGCTCCAGGCAACTCCTGGCTCCCTAGAGAGCCTGCTCGAGAGCCTGAGCATGTCATCAGGACAACCATCACTTGGGACAGGTGGATGATTCTAGAAAAGTCTCACCCGTTCTTCATCCCACCCCACCTACCAGGGGAGTCTAGGCAGGGAGGGCAGGAGCAGGGACTGACAGGTCTGATGGTGAGCTAGCACACACCTGGCCTTGGCTTCCTTGTACTCCTCTGTGTCCGTGTCCTCGTCCTCTGAGTACTGACCTTCAGGCCGGCCCCCTGCCATGAGACCTCTGGCAGCCAGGAGGCCTGCAGCATTTCCATAGCCTGTGTACTTGATGAATCGAGGCACTGCAGGCCAAGGCAGGAGTCAGTGTGTGAATGCAGCGAGGGCAGGGCAGACCTGGGAACGGGGCACCCCTTACCACTCTCCGAGCACAGGACAAAGAGGAACTCGGCAGCTACTCTCTTCACGTCAGTGTCCAGGTGTGTCATGAGGCGGACAAGCTTGTTCCGGAGCAGGTCCCCGACCTCAGGTCGGGTCCGGACATCCTGCAGAGGGGGCAGCACCTGGGAGGGCAGCTGTCCCTGAGGCCAGGCTTGGAGACGCCAGGCCACCCCCACCCCCACTCAGGCTCCTCTGCTGGGTACCTGGGCCTTCAGGAACTTCCGGACTGGACGGTGCATGCGGGCACACTCCGTCAGCACACTCAGCACAGGAGCCACACTCTCCTTGAGCCTGTGGGTCTGCAGAAGGGCCAGTCACCCCTGGGGTGGGGTGCAGGCCGCACACAGGCAGTGCTAGGTCCTGGCAGGAAGGCTTGAGAGGCCATGCTGGAGGAAGTCAGTGGAGGGCCAGAGCTGGGGGTGGGTGTCTGTCAGCTTCAGAAGGGATGGGAACAGGACCTAACTCTGTAGCCTACTTAAAGACTTTGTGACCTGAAGCAAACAGCTCAGTTACTTTTAACGTAACTTGCTCAATTATAAACTAGGATTGTGACTGAACCGTTGGAAGCTGTCAGCATACCCCTGGTAAACATCCTATCCTCAGGAAATGACAGCAATGAGAAACAACAGACTCCTTATCCTGGGAGCCTCCCTGGCAGACAAGTAGCTGATTTTCTATCTTTGCGCAGCCTCATTATTTCTCTGGAGCCCGACACCAGCAGCTGTAGCTACAGGGGGCTTAGCCAGCTCCCCTCTGCACTTGCACAGCTCACACCCACTCCTGACGCACCACACACCTCTCCTCAGAGGCCTGCCACACTTCAGTCTGCAGCTTTTTCCCTGCCTAATGTCTGTGAATCAGAGGGACCTCTGACCAGAAGCTTCAGTGCCAAGGATGGGTAATGCGGGTAACCTAGGGTTGCCATGCCCGAACACTAGGAGTGTGAAGGTCACAAGCAAGGACTAGGGGCTTTTGAAGACCATGCAGGAGGGGCCTACAAAAAGACTTAAAAGATAACAAGCACCTCACTAAGCCCGAAGAAACTTGTTTCCTTGTAGCGAACAACAGCAGAGAGGGCGTAAGCATGCAGGTGTCCAGAGGGAGGCAGGGTAACATTTGACAGCTCTCCCTAAGGCTAGGCTTGGAGCAGCCAGGTCATCAGACCTCCATTTGCTAATGTGAGCAGGGCAGAAACAGTGACCGTAGCCGTGTGTGCATGCCAGGGCCAGAACCCCTACGGACGTCCAGGTAAAGTTCCTGCTTACCTGGTGCAGACGCTTTTCCAGGAAAGCAAGGAGCGCACTGATCACATCCATATTCACTCCCAGGAACTCCAAGGAGCCCTCATGAAGCTCCAGGGTGAGAAGGGTATCTAAACACTTGAGAGGCAAGTTCCCCAGGAGGTTCACTGCGTGCCTGGGGAAAGATGGATGGAGGATCCTTGAGCTGGTCCTCAGCACAGGTGTAACTCCTAGTTTCCCCTTCTAGGAATACACGGTGCAAGTCAGCACTTAAAGGCTTAAAGAACAGTACTAAGGACCACAGTCAAGAGCAAGGACTGGTCTCAGAAATATGGGGGAAGGGGCTCCTCTGTAGACACCCTGTCTCTCTGGAAAGCTAGGCCAGCCCAGGCACTGAGACACATGATCCCTGCCTCTGCCCAAAGCCCTGCCCCTCCGTTCCATACGTGGCAGCAAACCAGTTAACGTCTGATTCCCCAGACAAAAGTTAGACACTGTGGTACAGCCTTGGCTCTCAAGGTGGTTCTAGTCCACAGGCAAGCGAGACACCACCACCGAGGTATCTGAGTATGTCACTCCCAAGCACAAGCCCTGCTCTCACCCATGGAACTCCTCGGTGCGGTCCCCCGCAGCAGCAATCATCACACAGTGTCGCAGAAGTGTTCCCAGGTACTGGTAAAGGGCGATATCTTCCTGACCAAAGACAAAGCATCTCCTGTGAGGAGCATCACTCTGGCTGCTGCACCCCAGGGCCTCCCAAACTACATGCTTGGGACCCTAGCCAGTGCTAGGCTGAGATGACCGCTGAGATGACCGCTGAAACGGTCCTCGATGCAGACTAGGACGTCCGTGACTCCCCTTGGGATGACGTTAACATACCCTAGTTCCACTTACAGGCATGGCTCCTGTCCTGCCCCATCCATGAAATGGCCGAGCCGAGCCGAGCCCCACCTGCTCACCTCGTCCACCTCCCTCTTGATGGACTCGAAGGTGATATTAAAGAGCACTTTGAGGATCTCCATAGCTCGCTCAGTCTCTTGGAGGGGAAGGAACTCGGGGGGGCTCACTTCGGGGGTCACTCCCAGCGTGAGCTCCAGTGTGTCGGTCAGCAGCCGCACACCCCGCAGCTCCTGAAACAGCTGCTGGCGCACGTCGGTGCGGAGCGCTGTTAGCAGGAAGAGGAGCCGCAGGTCAAAGAACTGGACCTCGTGGGGGAAGCTCCTCGTTCGGTAAAGTCCCACGCGCTCCGTGAGCCTCACCACCAGGTTGGCCTCTGCGGCCGCCAGCTGCGCCGCGGGGCTGCTGAGCACGAGGTTGCACAGGCATTTGAGGGCCTCAAGCGTGACGGCCATGTCCGGGGGCCCCGCGCCGGGCCCCGCGGGGCCGGCGATGTCCGCCCAGCGGGCCAGCGCCCCGATGCTCTGGCGGCCGGCGAACGGGTCCAGGCAGCCGCGGTCCCGGGACAGGATACGGACGGTCTGCAGCCAGGTGACGCGGTGCGAGGGCGGCGGGCCCCGCTCCAGGACGGACACCAGCAGGGAGGCGAGCCTCTGTGGAGGGGACGCAGCGGCTGCAGCGCGCCCCGCC